AAGAAAATCCACTACCTTATTGCAAATGCTAATAAAGATTTCTGGTTGTTGGGAATAAAGCTTAAGAAATTCATTTCATGGCTCTCATGTGGAATTGCAAATGAATCCATAGTGCTGCATTATGTATGACACCTTTAACGTAAGAATAGAAACATCCCTAGAAGACAAGATAGAGTATTCAGACTTCTGGTCACAAACCACAAGCTACCACAAACATTATTTACTTGCAAATTCCAGACTATAAATTGTTGAAATTTAGGGAAAAGTCCTCTAAAAGTAATATTAAATGCAAAATGATAGTCTGTTATTAAATATATTTAGATAATGAAGAGACTTAAAAATATTTAGATATTTAATTTGCTTTAGCAAAAGAAAGCAAAAAGCACTCAGGGTAATTGATTAGTTCAGGCTGGTTAATCTTGTTATCTGGTTCAGAATGCCCAGAGAGCCTATCAGATTAAAGAAAGAACTTTATGCTTTTTTTTTTTTTTTTAATGTTAAAAAATCTAAAACTTATTCTAATCTCAGTTGCCGATATTAGCGCTAGAGGGTAATAATGGGAATCATCCAGTGCTTAGAAATACGTTTTTCCAGACCGATCCCACTGAACGAACACACATATACCTCACACACCACACACCCACCCCCCTACACACACACACACACACACACACACACACACACACACACACAGTTTACCAGTAGAACCCAGTCATCAAGAGGCTTTCTCATCTTGCTCTTAAGTTATTAGCTCTGCTTACCCTGCTGCTTGGGAAGAAGAGGAAGAGAGGCTAAAAATAGAGTTTACAATGATTTATGGGATCATATGACCACCCCCCCTCTCAGACATTAGCCCAGTTAAAAAAAGCCAACAGCATTTCTTAATAGAGTAGATGCCCTGATTTTGACCCTTACCATCAACTCTCAAAATTATTTTGTTTGCTATAACCACATGGGACTCATGTTATATTTTTATTGTGGACAAAAACCTGAAAAGGTTTCCCTTGAGTGGCCCCAAATTTCCTGTATTCATTTTAACAGAGTTGATTTGGAATTAATTGTGTAAGAGTATATATCATACTTCCTGTAGCTTCTTTTATTTGAGAGTGAAAGAATTTTGTATGACACCACAGTTATTGTAGAAGATATGTACAGTGCCCATATGCATTTATTCTGGATTTTTAAAGAGTTTCATAGGTTATATTCTGCCAGACCAAACTGAGTTCCAAGCTCTCTGTTTATAATATATAATTATCAAAGTTGGGATATCATGTCACTGCCAGTTACTCTTGCTGTCAATTTGTTTTGGCTCAGCTATGGTTCTGTTTGTACTTTACAATAATGTAGTGAATATATTGGATTGGGTTGTTAGTTTAACAAGCACTCTGGAGAACAGTTTTCATGGTGATGCATGTTGAGATATGTATGCTAGGTAGCCTTAAAGTTATTTGTGCACTTGCCAAACCTGCAGAAATTCATTCATTAGGAGCTTTAGAAAGGATAAACTCTCTCAACCTACAGATGAGGTAAAGTTTGCATTTGTAAACATGAGAGTGTTAACTCATGAGTCTCAGCCAAATTTCTTAGGGGTTTTGATTTGACCGATTTCTCTCTCCTCATAATTTTACTGTACGTATTATTTTATGTTATTTTCAAAAAGTGCTCTGGTGGTTAAGCTGTTGTTGACTCTTGTGCTCTGTGCAGCTCACTATGTTGTGGGAACTCAGTGATCTTAGCCAGATATTGAGCTGAGATTAAAGAAATTGTTATCAGAGACTAGAACTAACTGGGCTGTTAATATTAACATTGTGCTCAGCTGGCTTAAAAATGCACACTAATCTCTTTCTTTGCCTACTATAACCTATTGCATCAAAATTTTCAGAGTCAGAGTTTAGGAATCTGTATTTTAAAAATTCTCCCTTGAGCCCTGGCTGGTTTGGCTCAGCGGTTAGAGCGTCGGCCTGCGGTCCGGAGAGACCCGGGTTCGGTTCCCGCTAAGGGCACATACTTCGGTTGCAGTTTGTCCCCGGCCCTGGTTGGTCGTGCGGGTGGCAGCCACTCGATGTGTCCCTTCACGTCGATGTTTCTCTCTCTCTCTCCCTTCCTCTCTCTCCCTCCTACTCTATCTGTACAAAAAAATGGAAAAATATCCTCGGGTGAGGATAAAAAAAAATAATAATAAATAAAAATTCTCCCTTGAACTTTCTGGATTTTGAAAATGTTCTAATATTTGAAGTCTTCAGGGGTGTACATTAGTCTCCTGATTCAATCAAGCAGTTTGCATTGTTTTTTGTTTTTTTTTTAATTCTCACCCAAAGATATGTTTATTGATTTTAGAGGGAAGGAGAGAGGAAGGAAGGGAGAGAGAAACATTGATTGGTTGCCTTCCATACAAGCCCCAACTGGGGATCAAACCTGCAACCTAGGTATGTGCCCTGACTGGGGTTTGAACCTGTAACCTTTTGGTGTACAGGATGATGCTGTCACCTGGCCAGGGCTGCAGTGCTTTTAATGAATGCTATTAAGTGACCACTGTCCACAGAGTCATAACCCAAGAGTACATGACAAAGTGGGTCTTGGCCCTAGGGAGCATAAAATCTGGTGAAAAAAGGAAGTAGTGATACATAATATAAAACTGTATAGTTTATGAAGTCTTTTTGTACACATGATTCTCATCAACACTGTGGCTTAAAGCCCATATTGCTATACCCATTTTTGGTTCAGGAAACTGAAGGGTTCCAGGATTTAAGCTAAGTCTTATATAAAAGCCTGTATTTTTCCATGAATAAGAATGCAAACAAGCCATGCTGGTGTGGCTCAGTGGATTGAGCATCATCACATGGACTGAGAGGTGCCAGTTTCATTCCCAGTCAGGGCACATGCCCAAGTTGTGGGTTCAATCCCTGGTAGGGGGCATGCAGGAAGCAGCCAGTTGATGTTTCTCTCTTACATAGATTCTGTCTCTCTCTCTCCAAAAAAAAAAAAATCAAAGGATATTTATTTAAACAATTTTTTTTTTACTTTATTGATTTTAGACGGAGAGGGAGAGAGAGACAGAAACATCGATGAGAGAGAACATTGAATGGCCACCTCCTGCACATCCCTCACTGGGGACCCGGCCCACAACCTGGGCATGTGTCCTGGCTGGGAACTGAACCGGCGACCTCTTGGTGCATGGGTTAATGCTCAACCAGTGAGCTACACCGGCCAGACAAATCAAAGCATATTTAAAAAAAAAAAAAATGCAAGCAGCCTTGGCCGGTTTGGCTCAGCGGTTAGAGCATCAGCCTGTGGTCCAGAGAGACCCAGGTTCGGTTCCTGCTAAGGGCACGTACCTCGATTGCACTTTGTCCCTGGCCCTGGTTGGGTCGTGCGGGTGGCAGCCACTCGATGTGTCCCTTTCACGTCCATGTTTCTCTCTCACCCTGGCAGAGCTCCACGTTACTTATTTTCATGTCACAGTTGCCTATTTGGACCTCTGGAATTTTAGTATGTTAAGCTTTCTCGGAGGGATGTGATGTTTGTAGAAAAATGTCCTGCTCTTTTGGTCCTTCAAACTTTCCATTTATTCTTGCCTCGTTTTCAAATTCTTGAGAAGTATTTCCAAGTGATGCTGGCCAATGATGAATATACTTCTTCATGATTACATTTAGCATTCATTATTTGTACCACATTCTTTGACACTTGATAATTTTGATCCAGCTTTTTATTGTTGTCATTTTTTTTTTAAACTCATTTACCTAAATAAAATTTGTCCTCCTGAGCAGATTATAAACTCCCTGAACATGAGACTAACCCATGGTGGCACACTTAGTAGATATTTGCTAAGTGCTCTTTGACATTAACAATACACTTACTTAGTTTTTCCTTTTTCCATTTTCTCTCTATGTCTTAACACCCACTAAGGTTTGCTGCTGTTAACCACCTTGGTACAGGAAAGAGTGGACTGATAGTGAACTCTCAGGTGGTATTTCCAGGTCCCTAAACCCATGGATCTCGGTGGCGTAAACTTTAGGAATAGGTCTCAGAGTTCTTTCATCTTTCTTTCCTTATCGGTGAGTAACTTCAGGGATATAAAGTGTTGTCCTAGGTGACATACAACTCTGCCAGTTAACCATGTTTACCTTTGCTAGTCATAGTCACCTGGGGAGCCTTTTCAAAATATATGTGTAACATTTGCCTGTGTGTTCTATTCCTTTATGATCATCACCACTGCCCCTCCTAGGGCATGTCAAGAACCACTGGTCTTTATGTTTATTTAGTAACTTATTATTTCAGAATGTAGGGCGTGGCTAGTGGTGAGTAGCAGTACCATCTTAAGAATTTGTTGGTAGTTTTGAAATTATTGCTTTTCAAGCCTTCACCCACTGACTGACTATCTTTTGCATACTCTTGAATTATCCCTAATCATCAGATGTCTGGGCCCTCAGATTCCACAAAGGCCCTCTTCATATCATATTCTTATAATTAAACTGCACATTTCTTGCTTGGTCTCAAAGCTGTCTTTATATATTAAGATGATCTTTGTTTCTTGTGACAAGTAGTTTGTTGTTCCTTTGGCAGCACCCCTCCCCCCAAATAAGGTTAGTTCTTCAATAAATTTAAAGGTCGGATGACCACTTAGATTAGCCTAAGAGGGAGTATTTGTGCTTATTACTTTGTGGAAAAGCTCATCTCCCCAAACTTATGGGTAATTTCTTCTTACCTTGATTGGAATTCTAGTTAAAATTTTATCCTTTAACTTCTTAACATTATGTGAGACTCGATTATTTTTTTAATAAAAAGCATGTTCTGATATAGAAAAGAATAGATCTAAATTGCTGAACTAAGTTAACCTACCACTAGCACCACCTTATCCATCCTTCCTACTACTGTACTACCCTTCTTATGCATATTTGCAGATTGATCTCTGCCTTTTTAGGTTTCTCTTTGTCCAAGATAGCAGCTATGGACATGTAGCAGGTATGTCCTAACTGATGTGCCTGCCTTTCTGTTTCTAGGTGGGCCATGCACAGACACAGCTCATGTCTCGTTAATCACACCAACCAAAAGATCCTGTGGTACAGGTACGTACATCATTCTTATCTGGCTTCATTCTTATCTGAATTCTTCACAGAAATTTGCTACTGGTTTTAATGTGGTGTCCTTGCCAGCGTTCTCTCTAATTTCTTCCATCAATTTTGAAGTGATGTGTTATGTGCTTGATGTTGGGAGTGGAGTGTGAGCAGAGGTCAAAGTTGTGCTCTTGGAGCTCAGGTGGACCAAGTTAATGCTGGCAGCCAGAACCAAGAAGGTAGACAATTTACCTACTTCCTAATATCTGAAGAATATTAAAACATGAAACATACATTGCCAAGTTTCTAGCATGTGGCTAATTTATCTAAGTCTTGGACTTACTTAAAAAAACATTATTTAGCCCTGGCCAGTTTGGCTCAGCAATTAGAGCGTCGGCCCGTGGACCTGAGGGATCCGGGTTCGGTTTCCGTAAGGTTTCAGTTGCAGTGTGTCCTTGGCCCTAGTTGGGGTTGTGTGGGTGGCAACCACTCGATGTGTCTCTCTCACATCGATGTTTCTCTCTCTCTCTCTCCCTCCCTCCCTCTCTATCTGAAGATAAATGCAAACATGTCCTCGGGTGAGGATTTTAAAAAAACAAAACATTTTTAAATAATGGAGACTGGAGGGTGAAAAGTTGTATTACCGATAATCGGTGTTTTAACTTGACTGTTAGAATATCCTAATAGTTTTGGAAAATTTTTTTCTCTTTTCATCTTCAAGCCATGGGGTGTGCTGAAATTACTTTTTTCAGGTACATAAAGTCTCCCCCAAATCTTTGAGCATCTGTGACATTTTTATTAAATATGAAGTCATGAATCTTGTAGCTCTCTAAAAAGCAGTCATTATGGCCATTGCTCCCTTAGCCTATAGCTTAATTTATTTTAAACAGTATTTGCCTTTTCCAGTAATGCTGCCTGCTATTTAAAATATCTCAAGGATTATATTTGGAAGAGTCAAAATAATTATATTGTTTTTCTAAAGGTCACAAAGTATTTTACATAATTTAAAAAGTCCTTTTAACTTTTCAACAAAAATAGCCCAAACTATTTCTGTGCACAAACTTACACTGAAACCTCAGCCCTTTTAAATGCTCATAGTTTTGATGTTAAACCTCAGACAGGCCTGTCCTTGCACAGTTTCTGAGAACATCCAGGCACTGACCTCTGAGGAACTTAATTTTACTCTTTTGTTCCATATGAACAGTTTTAAGGCAGGACTGTGTGCGATGGTCCTGGCATGTGCTCACCCCTTCTGCCCTTAGTACCCAAGCTCCTCTGGGTAGTTCCTGATGGAGATGGAAGAGAACTGTGTCCTGAAGTGAGACAGACTATCCTGATTAGCCAGCCAGTGGGAACTCAGAGCCAGCTTCTCCCAGAAGCTCCAGCCAAAAGCTCGAAAACACCAGAGCCCTTTGATTTCAGGTCCAACACTTCACATGCACAGTGCACTTTAGTCTTTCTTCTTTCCTTCTAGTCTTGGCCCTCAAGGCAGCATTTACTGTTAGCACTACCAACATACTTAGGTAGTGGTCAAGAAGTGAGCCTCAAGCACATTGGGTCATCCTGAGAAGTTTAGGAAAGAGACTCATGTGCTCAGCTTAAACACTGAAACTAGTAGGAATCCTTCTTTGAATATCATGTGCTTGTGTCCTTCATCTTCTAGGCAGATCTGTTTTCTTCTCTCTTCCCATACTATTTTGTGCATCTAAAAATAATAATAGCATTTATTGCATGCTAACTGTATTATCAGGCACCATTCAATATGCTTTACATACATGCCCTTTAATCTCAGAACAATTTTAGAAGAGTTATTCCTCTTCTACAGATAACAGAGTAGGTACTCAGAAAATTGAGTACATTTCCTGGGGTAATATTGCTAGTAAGTAATAGAACCAGAACTTGAACACAGATCTTTCAGATGCTTAAACCAGTGTTATTTTGCACTACATCATGTTATTGCTCATCACGTTGTATTATAATGATGCTCCTAGCCAGACAGTGGTAAAGCATATCACTGAATGAAATAAAGAGAAACACAGATTTGGAAACACAGCATGTGAATTAGTGTTTAAAATGTGAGTTCTAAAAGCAGATCTGTTTTCAGATCCTATCCTTGCCTCTTAGAAAATGTGATTTTAAGTAAATAAGTTAACAACTCAAAATTTGTTCTTTATCTGTAAAATGGGATGATAAATCTGTCATAGGTTTGATGTAAGCATATACATAAAGCTCACATAATAGATCTTTATAAAGGTAATTGCTATTATAGTATAATCTTATTAAAGATTATGTGTATGCAGTGGCCAACCATTAAATGCTGTGGATAACACATCAGTAGGTAATTTAGGTGGAAAGAAGAGTAGATTAGAAGTGCCAGAATGCATTGCCATACCTAGTTTCATTAATTGGTTTTATGTTGATTACATTCTTTTTTGCATTTTAGTATTATAGTAGAAACTGATGGTAATATTTTGAGGTCTCCATAAAGCGAAATGATAAGCAAGGAATTAAGCTCTCAGTCACACATTTCTTTCTTTCTTTCTTTCTTTATTTTTTTTATATGAATTTTTATTTATTTTTTTGTTACAGATATTTTACCTTTTTACCCCATTGGCACCCCCCACCCCACCCCACCATCGCCCCGTCCCCGGCTTAGTTGTCCATGTCCATTGGTCATGCATACATGCATAAAAGTTCTGTGGTTTATCTCTTCCCACCCCCTCACCCCCCCATCCCCTCTTCTGAGGGATGTCAGTCTGTGCCCTACTTCCATGTGTCTGGGTCTACTGTATTCCTCAGACTGTTATGTTCATTATATTCCGTATATAAGTGAGATCATGTGGTATTTGTCTTTTTCTGCTTGGCTTCTTTCACTTAGGATAATACTTTCCAGGTCCCTCCATGTCGTCTCAAAGGATAAGAGATCTTTCTTTCTTACCGCTGCATAGTACTCCATTGTGTATATGTACCACGGCTTTTTTATCCATTCGTCTACTGGTGGACACTTGGGCTGTTTCCAGATCTTAGCTATTGTAAATAGTGTTGCTATGAACATGGGGGTACATATATTCTTCCTAATTGGTGTTTCAGGCTTCTTAGGGTATATTCCCAGCAGTGGGATCACTGGGTCAAATGGAAGTTCAATTTTTAATTTTTTGTGGTAGCACCATATTGTTTTTCATAGCGGCTGCACCAGTCTGCATTCCCACCAGCAGTGTATTAGAGTTCCCTTTTCTCCACACCCTCGCCAACACTTGTTGTTTGATGATTTGTTGATGGCGGCCATTCTGACAGGTGTGAGGTGATACCTCATTGTTGTTTTAATTTGCATCTCTCTGATGATTAGTGATGTTGAGCATTTCTTCATATGTCTTTTGGCCATTTGTATGTCCTGTTTGGAGAAGTGTCTATTCAGCTCCTCTGCCCATTTTGTAATTGGGTTCTTTGTCTTCCTTTTGTGGAGTTGTATGAGCATTCTATATATATTGGAGATTAACTCCTTATCTGATACATCATTGGCAATGATGTTCTCCCATACAGTGGGTTGCCTTTCCATTTTGATGATTGTGTCTTTTGCTGTGCAGAAGCTTTTTAGTTTGATGTAGTCCCATGTGTTCATTTTCTCCTTTATTTCTGTTGCCTTAGGTGATGTATCAGTGAAAATTCTGCTCCGTATGATGTCCGAAATTTTGTTGCCTACATTTTCTTCTAGAATTTTTATGGATTCACGGGTCACATTTAAGTCTTTTATCCATTTTGAGTTTATTTTGGTGTATGGTGTAAGTTGATGGTCTAGTTTCATTTTTTTGCATGTAGCTGTCCAATTTTCCCAACACCATTTATTAAAGAGGCTGTCTTTACTCCACTGTATGCTCTTGCCACCTTTGTCCAATATTAATTGAGCGTATTGCCTTGGGTCCATTTCTGGGTTTTCAGTTCTGTTCCACTGGTCTATATGCCTGTTTTTGTGCCAGTACCAGGCTGTTTTGGTTACAGTCGCTTTGTAGTATAACCTGATATCTGGTATTGTGATCCCACCTACTTTGTTCTTCTTTTTCAAGATTGCTGTGGCTATTCGGGGTCTTTTTTGGTTCCATATGAACTTTTGCAGTATTTGTTCTAGTTCTGTGAAATATGTCGTTGGTATTTTGATGGGGATTGCATTGAATCTATAGATTGCTTTGGGTAGTATGGACATTTTAATGATGTTAATTCTTCCAGTCCATGAACAGGGTATGTGCTTCCACTTTTTTATATCTTCCTCTATTTCTTTTTTCAATGACCTGTAGTTTTCTGCAAATAGGTCCTTTACTTCTTTGGTTAAGTTTATTCCTAGGTATCGTAATTTTTTTGGCGCGATGGTAAATGGGATTGTTTTTTCAGTTTCTCTTTCTGTGAGTTCATCATTGGTGTACAAGAATCCCGTCGATTTCTTGACTTTAATTTTGTATCCTGCTACTTTGCCCAATTCATTTATTAAGTCTAATAGATTTTTGATGGAGTCTTTAGGGTTTTCTATGTACAATATCATGTCATCTGCAAATAATGACAGTTTCACTTCCTCCTTTCCAATTTGGATCCCTTTTATTTTTTCCTACTGTCTGATTGCTGTGGCTAAGACTTCCAGTACAATGTTAAATAAGAGTGGCGAAAGTGGACATCCCTGTCTTGTTCCTGTTCTTAATGGAAATGTTTTTAGTTTCTGTCCATTGAGTATGATGTTGGCTGTAGGTCTTTCATATATGGCCTTTATTATGTTGAGATATGATCCCTCTTTTCCTACATTACTGAGCGTTTTTATCAGAAATGGATGCTGGATTTTGTCGAATGCCTTTTCAGCATCTATTGATATGATCATGTGGTTTTTATTCTTCATTTTGTTTATGTGGTGTATCACGTTTATTGATTTGCGAATATTGTACCAGCCTTGCATCCCTGGAATGAATCCCACTTGGTCATGGTGAATAATTTTTTTGATGTATTTCTGGATTCGATTTGCTAATATTTTGTTC